GTTTTCAGCATGTGACTACATCTTCTCAAAATAAAGAATGCTTTCATTTCAAGAGGGCAATAAGAGCTGGGAAAATTCGCATGAATTTAGTCACTATCTTTGCATTCGCAGTCGAGGTGTCTTTCTACGTGAACATCCATGGGTCCTTGTCAAGTCTAGCGTACAGTTTCATCCAACGCTGCTGCAAAGCGTGGTTACACTGTGAGTGTAATAAAATGAGTGGTTAAAAATGGTAGTTACGAAGAATAAAAGATTCTAAATTTAAGCTGGTTTCCATCCATTACTGTAATGTTCAGGCAGCGTCACATTCCAGGCAGATCAAATAGGCTGCCAGCATTAAAAATTCAATCAGATCCTGCACGGAAATAGATTGTGAAGGATCATAGTTCATCTGTGATGCTGTTGTACAAATGCAGAGCCACACAAACGTCTTGTTAGGTTTCATTAAAGTCTGAAATATGTAAGCTAAAATTAGTTTTCTAACTCTGAAAATCCGTCAACATTAACCCAGGCCAAAAGAAAAAATGAAGTCAAAGTCAGTGGAGCAGCCTCTTTTTTTTCCTGCCAGCTTGTGCTGAGGGAATAATTTGTTGGCAGGAAGTCGTATGAATTAATAATGTTTTTGAGTGGTGAGATTGCTCGTTGGCAGATCTGAGAGCGTGGCACATCGTTAGCAGGTCATCATTAATTTATCCACCAGTGTCTGCAACATTCGTCTGCAGCCTTTGGTGACTTTTGCATTGTAAATGAATTATTTTGTAAAACGAACAGAAGTTTTTCATTTCAGAGATACACATATTTATTGTGTTGTCACAGCCTACAGTTTGTATAAAGGAGGTGATTTTAACCAAGAAGGAATGTTAAAATGCATTCTGAAGAATGTACAAAAGAATCAGGTTGCCACCAGTGCAGAGCTTGCTCAACAGCGGGTGCATGCAAATCCATATAAATGTATAGTGAGGACTTTTGAGCAAGAAGGACAGCAAAAACTGTTCTACAAAACATGTCAGGGACACACTGACGTTTAGCAGGAAGTTCAAAAAGTTAGTTTGTGTGATGAATCCTCTTTTTCATCTACAGGAGAATCCCTCAGATTTATCCCAAAACCACTGCCATGAAAAAAAGATGCAATAAAAATATCCTCCAAGAACAATTTCTTCCAACAATCCAGGAGAATATTTTCAGCATGATGAGGGACTGGTTTATAACAAACTTTGAGAATTTGGTTGGCATACTCCCCAGAAGAGTGTTAGCTCCCCAGATGCACATCCACTGTGATATGGAGGACTACAGAAGTTATGCAGAAGAAGGATCAATGCTGTAATTTTATGTATTTACTAACAACAGTCAATGCAACAAATACAATCTTTTAAATGGCTGTACAGTATTAAATGAAACAAAAACAGAACACATTTTTGCAACAGCCAAGTTTCTTTCATGATTTTTTTGGCAAAAAAAATTGGAAGCTTCACTTTGTTGCCGTTTGAAAGGATTTTTATTTTTTTTTTATTAGATTGGAAAGTAGAATTAACTATGTCTGCTCCTTCTCTCCTCTTCCCTTCTTGGTCTGGTTGTCAGTTTTGTGTCAACACAGGATGACAGGCTACCTGCCAGGCTTCTATCCCAGGCACTCTACAAATGAGTTTCATTCTTTTCATGTCCCTTAAACTTGAGAGACAGCAGATATTTACTGGTAGTTGATGTGCAGATGAGTTCTGTTTCGATGTCTGGTGGTTGAAGCTTCACTTTGACCTTCATAAAGACCAAAAAACCAAGACTGACACTGTTTCAGCTACAATAAATGTAATTAGGATACATCACTGAAATTTATGCTATCAGCACTTTAGTAGACTTTGGAAATGTATTGACTAAGTCTTTACTTATACCTTAACATCTAATCTTTGTATACAAACAAATTAAAGGGGGCTTTGTTTACATTTCAACAATGTACGGGCTGCACAGCCAACTGAGACAAAGTGTTAAATAATTTTATCTGGTGGAACGAAATAAAAATCTGTAGGAAAATTATGTGATCCTTCCCTACATATCTGATTCTAAAACCAGCAGAGAAACCATCACTGCTATAAGAAATGTGTATATATTTTTGTTTTGTTTTGTTTTCCGTCTTTTCTTTTCTTCTCTCATCTCCTCTTGTTCAGCTGTCATGTACATGCGCTGCTAACGTATTCATGGTGCCATTCCTATCCCAGTCTTCAGCCGGTAAACTAGGAAACAACTTCCAATTAAATGGGTCGGATCAGTGAGCCACCCTGCCTGGCCCTGATAACATTATCCCACGTCATGCACTGCTGCCAGCGCCTGGATTATAAAATAATGATAAAGAAAATTAAGAAGAAGACCAAAGAGTGATGGAGGGAAATGGTTTTGGAAGATGAGGCGAGGGAGGCTTACCCTCAGGCACTGTCATCACTAATTGTATACTATATATTTGGTTCTCTGTGAATACGCAGGGTTATGTAAGATTTCAAAGCTCTTCCACTATCACCAGAACCAAAAACTTCAATATGCTGTTGAGCTTCCGGTCCAAAGCTATCCGCCTACTGATAAGGCTCTTACATAACGAATTCATTTCTCCTGAGTCTGAGGAGTCTTCCTGGAGGCAGGTAGAAGCGTTTCCTATGATAATTTCCTATGAATTGTTATGGAGAGCAAATATTATATTGTTTTTTTTTTATATTGTTGTTTTTTTTTCTTCTATTGTGTTTTCTACAACTGAAATGTTGCAGATTTACTAAATCCAGGAATATTTCCCTTAGATTAGTTTTTTAGATCCGAATAGTCAAAAATTATGGTATGCCAAACATGAGGACTGTGAGTCCTTTCCTTGCCGATGCTGTTGTCCAAGAGCCGCGTCTTTCCTTTATTCTATTACTGAGTCCTGGAGTCTGTCTCTGCAAAGATAAGAGAACTGCTCTTTTGCCAGACCACAATCACCACACAGACCATGTCGTTAATGCAGAAGATAAAAGCCAGTTTGCTGCTGGTGGGAAGGAACAGATGGAAAAAATCCATACATCTCTAAATGTAACAAGGGGAAATTATTTCCTTTTATTATTTTATTTGTTTATTTTTGCCGTAATTTCCTACAGGAACATCTGGTATTTATATTATACACGGGACGTTCTGTAACATATGGCTGTAGCCAGATTAAAAGACACATTTCTCTCTTATTTCATTATTACATCAAACTAAAGTTTTCCTTTTGATGCCCAGCTATCAAAGTGATGTGTGAAATGTGTAAGTCAACCCAAGAACAAAACCAACAGACTCTGAGAAGGTGAGAATAACATTAATCAGAGGGAAACAAAAGACTAATATCATTTTGTTATGATGTTTAGCTGCAGGAGGGACTGGTGCACCTTAACATGAAGTGGAAATACTGAAGCAGCATCTCAGGAGATCTTGGGCACAAATATGTCATCCTACTGATCAATGACTTAAATCAGACAGCCAAATTGGTTACAAAGTGGTTTAAGGACAACAAAGGAAATGTTTTGTGTTGGTCATGTCAAAGCCCTGATATAAGTCCCACAGAAAATCTATTGGGGAAAAAATCAATACGAAGGAAGACGCATGATCTGGTATCAGCCTATATGCAATGCTAACATTTTCTGTCCAGACAGAAGATCCATGTTCATGCCAATTGAAATCAGGCGCTTGTAGCCCTGGAGAATTAGACACAGTTAAAAATGGATTGTTGTCCCGCTCTGCCACATCTCCCCTGTTACCTCCCAGAATAAGCGGCCCAATCTGCTGTCCCATATCATTTCAGCCCTGTTCCATTCAGCACTGGCAAACATTGGTGTAGCATAATGACAATGGGCAGTCGCCGAAGGGAAAATCAGGGGAGCTCCAATTTAAAATAGAATGCTGTTCTGGTTCACTAAGTGTTATAAAGTTGGAGGATTTCATCCTGGCTGACAGTGGTGGAGGAGAGCCAGTATTTAACAGGACAACATTAAGTGCATATACGGGAACATGTTTTGGTTGTAATTGCTCAAATGCCATAGTCAAAGGGATTAGAAACCATGTGAAATAATTTTACTAACTGTGCTCAAAAGCAAGCCAATTTCACATTATGGTTTTAACTTGGGATATTATAAAAAAAAAAAAAAAAAGAAACACCTGACCTGTGTACTCTGTAGTCTACTTAAATCTGTGTGTATGTTCAAGAAACCTCGGCGTTCTTTACTGGACAACTGTGTTTAGACAGATAAATTATTTTTTTGAGTATCGGAGTTAAAGGGACTGAATACACATGTGTATTTATTTGTTCCACTTCACAATTATGTGGTACTTTGTGTTAACATGTCACAAAAATCCCAACAAACTAAGCTTTAAGGAGCATTCATAATTATTCACAGCACTGTATTCTGCAGCTCAAAAAAACAATGTTTTCATTGAACAAAGTAAGCTATCTTCTACATAGATACAAATCATTTATCTTTTCTACTCAAGTAGTAATATTTCTAGCTCTACATTTTGTTCCTGTGTTTTGTTTTTCTTTTGAGACTGCAAGTTTAAACAAGTCATGATTTGTATTCAACTCAAAAATGTGGCTGTTGATTAGCAGGTGTAGAACTTTATTGTCCAGGTTGCATTTTTATTTTACATGTCTTTATATGAGACCTGACTGGATTTGCAATGGGGGGTTTTCTTACAAATTGGGTGGTTCAGATGAATGAAGTAATCATAGCATTAACTTTCCATGAAATATTTATTTTGGTTTGGCAGAATGTGATGACTGATGTGTTTGGATTCAAGTACAGAAAGAGGCCTCAGTATTGATCCACTCTCTTCCCAGAATGGGATTCCTGCCACAGAGGGAATGAGTGTAATAAAGATCTCATTATCTGTCCACGACTTGTACATTTCCCTCACAGTGGCAAAGACGTCAGTGTTTAAAGCTTATGTAATGTGTGTAAATTGAAGCTATATGACTTCATGATGTTCTTTGATTTTTTTTTCTTGCCTTGCAGAAAGTTGTTTGACATTACAACAGAAGAAGAGAAAAGTAAAGGCGACTGGACCAACGAGATAGCTTCAGGCTTGGTGGTTACATGCTTGGTGTTCTTTGACTTTGAGGAAAAACTATTCTACCAAGCAGAAGGAACCATGGATTTTGTAATGAAGCAAGCATTGGGTGGTGAGTATGTGACTACAGTTTCAATGCTCTAAACATTTTTAGTTAGGAAGTAATTGTCAAAGATCCAGAAAATCTCCTGCAGATTCCATTGTAAAGTAAACTTTACAGTAATGATGTTTAGTGCTTATTTAATAAAAATCATGTGATCATTGTTTTTGTTTCTGTATTTATCAGTAGGGAGCATGCCACATTGCTAATAATTTTGCTATTCATCTAATTATCCAAATTAAAAACGTCCCACCTTCAAAGAGAAAGTTGGCACAGAAAAATTTCAAGGAAGATGTTGTTTCTACCAGTATCTTGACGCTGTCCTGAATCCTTGTTATACTGGACAAGACATTCAGAATCCTAGTATTAAAGGTTTAGAGAAAACAAAAAACAGAGACAATGGGGGAATCCAGGTGAGTGAAAGAAAAAGCCCATATACTGGAACAAGTGACAATGGAGTGAAAAAGGTGAGGATGATCAGATGAATGTAGGGCACCTGCCAGGGAGAAACCCTAACCTGAAAAACCTAAAAGTGCACAAAAACAGACTGACAAACTTTTAAAAAAGTTACACATTGGAACAGACTCCAAACCAACAAGCCTGAAGTACAGAACAACTAGTGACAGACTGTGCAAAAATAATTCAGATTCGTCCAGCCCTGAAACAAAGGTGAGGTCTTCTCTGTGTTTATGTTTTCATAAGACCAAAAAAATCAGAATGGATCTGCTGACAAGAACCAGTCTTGAAATATGGACTGTTTGACTCAATAACCTTTATGAAACATGATCAACAACATAAAAGTCTTTCCTGGCTGTGGTTTTTCTTTTATGGTCCCACAATCGTAATCTTGTTCTGCTTCAAACCCGTTGGCCTCCACGTCTCTTCTCATTCACTGAAAACAACATAAAGATGTCAATGTGAATCTTCTTGTAAGTCAAGGGCCTCCAGGCCCAGAGGTCATGCCTCTTTAAATCATTCCCCTCATCTACTTTCATCAGTTCAATGACCACCAAGCCACAATGAAATGAGATTTATTCCTTTACAGCTCAGCTTGCCCTTCGTCTCCCTCCTTCGGCCCGTCTCCCGTTAATTTATCCTCACCACTCATGCCCTGCCGTCCCTCAGCTTTTCCCTTTCTCCTCCTCCTTTACTGCAATCCATTAATCTGAATGCTATTTCGCGTCTCTCTTTACTCAACGTTTGTTCTCTTAATTCTTCCTCTTTTGACTTTTACTCATCTGTTTTCCACTTTTCAGCCGTGCAACCACTGATGGAGCTAATGTAGCTGATGTTAAGATTCAGAAGTTTCACTGATTTTGATGGCAGCCTGCGATCACTTTTAATATTTTCTCCACCTTTAATGTGACATTTACGAATACAAATAAAACGAATCTATTTGATGGACATTATGACACTAAAATAATAAAAGAGAATAGAAACCTAATTTAGCTATGTTTACTATGTTCATGAAAGGTAAAAGAGAAATGAATAGATTTTAAGCAGAAAATTGGACACATTGCTGCTGTGGTGTAACATTTCTCATTCAACACCTGAAGATGTGTAACAACAAAGCTGTTGCTTGAGAGAAAATGTGTTGTGTGTTTAGGCTGAAAAAGGAAAGAAGTCTCCTGATGTGCAATGAACCAGCAAAGTTTTTTATGAACTCATCTTCCCCTTGTTAGCTGAAGCCTGAACTTTAACATTTTAATCATAGACAGCAAGTCCGTAATACTCTTCAACCTCCCGTCATTTGATTCTCACATCCTCCTATTAGCCATGTCACTTTGTCTTTCTATTGGTTCTTCCTTTTCACATTGGATATGAACTTCTCCTTGGTTCTGACCCAGTCCCTTCATGCAGCAGAACCACACACTACCTTCTTCATTCTTTGCATTTTAATTGGCTCTCATCCAACCATCAATCTCAAGTTGAAAGGTCATAATTTACCACCCACAGAGAATCTGTAGAGTGTGGTTGACCCTTTCTCTTTGAACTAGACAGTTCTTATTTCCCTGACACTCGACTGGACTGTATTGGTATATAAAATCAGAAGCCAGCACTATTTGAAGGAGAACTTAAGTTGCTTTTCTGCAGTTCACTTTAGACTGTGTTGGAGAGCCTCAGGTTTAGTCAAAGAAGGTTCATGTCAACCCAAATGACTTCACTGATCAGGCTGAGGTAAAGAAATCATCTCCTGGCCCTTGTTTGACTTTATTGCATTTTATATTTGTGTTAAGTTTATCTAAAGAAAGAGTTTTTGCTTTGTTCAAGATGAAGAGATATTGATGTATTGAATTGTGATAATAATTCACATGAAGGGTTGAAAGTGACATCTTCAGTGTTCATTCTGCTGTCAGTTCTGTTTCAGACTCAAACATCCTGTCTTTCCTTCCTTTATCAGAAAATCAAACCTGTGACGTCCTTGTCTTTTCTCATAAAGAAGCTGAACTGAAAGATAAGGAGGAGATAATAACTGTAGGACCAGTGTTAGGCCGTTCGGACCCGACAGCGTCCAGCCTTCTGTTTCATTTCCTGTGCAGGTGTGAGAAAGATGAACAAGCGAGGATTCAGTGATAACCTGCAGCTGAAAGGCAGTTTAATCAAAGGCTCTAAGATCCAGACAGTTTGTGCTGCTCAGTAGCACTTTGGTATGGATGTGTTAGGTTTCTATGTGAGGATCAAGCAGGTGTTAGTGCTACAAAACAAACAGGATCATGCCGGCTGATGTATGGTGCAGGATTTTAGCCTCTCTTGTGACTTATGTGGGTGTAATTTGGAGGTAGAGGTGATCCATTATTTAAATTAGCTCAATTTTTCAAACCCTTCCACCCCTGCAGCACTGCAATCCATCTGACAGGCTGGAGGAGGAGTCAGCGGTGCACGCCTCATCTATCCCACTTTAACTTTCTTCTTTCACCCCTCATACTTTCCAACTTTGTTTGCACCTCTTTGTCGTAGCTAAATGGTGTTAAAATGTGAAGTGGAAGGAACATTATTCTTTTTTTTTTTTTTACCTTTCCATAAATGTACATATACAAGGTGTAACATTCTCACCTGCAATTACCTTCATGCATCTTCTTTCCTCTTTAGAGAGGCCATCAGGACACCTTGTGTGTATTTACATTACTATTTGTTTGAGATTCGATTAGATTCAGAAGACTGCTTATAACATCTAATAGCAGGTAAAAGAGGTGCAGTTTTTAATCATGACTTCACATTAACAGACAAATATCAGATTTTAGCATAATGCCAATTTACAATGCAGATATCATCCATCTATGCTTTTGTGTCTCAAATAAATATTTTGGTAAAACTTTGTAAAACACAGACAAGGTGGTTGTTGTTGTTGTTGTTTTTCATTTCTCAAGGGAAAAATGGAGATCCAAAGCAACTTGCCTTTTAATAAAAACAATAGTCACCCCATAAACCTAATAAGATATTTTGCTAACACTGGGGAAAAACTACTGATAATACATGGCCAGTTATTTGTTTAAGTTGTTATAGAAACATTTTGGCAGGCTCTTTAATCTAGTTTATTCTGTACTCTGTAGACTCTGAGATTTTACCTTTAATGTTTCTCTCTTTTTGAATTCTAAGGTAGCTTCATTTAAATTAAATTTTGTTGTTTTTATTTTAAAAAATGCTGAGGTTTAATTTTATGGAAAATGAAGGAAATCAAAGAATTACATCCTTGACACAAAGGTGTTTGCAAACATGCCTGCACTTATTTGAGTGTTTTAACACATTGAAGCACCCACATCAGGCAGCCTGACCTTAACCCGACTCCCCAGTGAGTCCACTGGAACATTTCACTGCCCGGTTTCTCCCACCAGCTGAGTGCTAATTTGTCAACCTCAGGTTTGCTGCAAACACACCGCGCTGCAGGGCCATTAGGGCCTCTGCATGGGCCTGCTGCTGAGCGACAGGACCTGCCTCCCTCCAGCTCACTCACCCCAGAGGGTGTGTTTCAAGTCACGTTTGACGGCTTCAAGGAACAGTTTGCTCCAGATTGTTCTGCTTCTTCTGCTGTGCCTTATTAGGCCCCAGTTTTAGTATGTCACTGTTTCATAGACATAAATAACCCCAAGTTCATTCTTTTTTTTAAAGAAGGTTGTTTTTTTTTTTTTTTGACACTAGTGGTTTTTATTACCTGACAGGAAATGGGCGGGAAGGAAGAGACGCAGCAAAGATCTGAAGGTTGGAGATTGAACCCAGAACTGATGCATCAAGGACTATACCTTCTGTATTTCTTCCACTACACAATACAACGTCCCAAAACTTCCAGTTCTGATTTAAAGCGCTACGACGGGTTTCAGAAAGAGTAAAAATACCGACTAATGCCGGGACTTAAGATCATGTTCATTCGTCATCTCATACCCCACGATTCAACAGCTTGGAAATTTTGGGATTTGGCTGGACCATTGCAACATGTGGATATTTTTATTTTTTAGTCGTTGTGTTTATGATTTGCTGATTTGTTTTGGGTCAGTTGAGCCCCTCTGGATGCCCCCCAATTACTTGCTACCCCACTGACTTTTTTTTTTTTTTTCAGTTCAAACAAACAAATGAGACGTAAATGTAAAGCCCAACACATCTCCACTGGCCTCATCTTCCCACTCCTATGAAAATATTCTGGAGGCGCCATTGTTTCAGGTCATTGTCCTGTTGATGACTCAGTTTGTGATGGCCTCACGTTTCACTCTTAAATACGTTGCTGTACGGATCAGCTGCCATATTATTTTTTACAAAAAATAGTTTTTCCCTTTCTGCTCTTTTGGGCACCTCACGCCCCGACTAAAGGGTGAACTGTTAATTGTTTTAAGTACAAAATCTCCCACCTGTTAATGTCTATTTTTTAGTGAGTACTAAAAGCATAGTGGTGTCCTGGTTGCCTTCACACAAATAGGTTTTCCAAATTTCCTGCTACCTTGAGAGTGTGACGATGTCATCGTCCTGTGTGAAGGTGGTTCGGTTCATGCTTTCAGTATAATCTCCAGCATCACAAGATCATGATAAACAAGAGCAAAACAATATAAGAAATGGAAAACATACATTAGAGTACATAACATGACCTAAAAAACATTCGGTTTCCAGTTGGCACGCAGCATTACCACAAGATTCATTGCAGAAAACAGATTTCCCTCTGGTGTTTCTCGACTCTGTTCTTGCTTTTCTTCAAATGAACAATCTCAGCTGTCAAACACACAGAATCTGTTTTCAGGTTCTGGTCTAACAAAGGGGTTTCTCAGAAAAGCAGGCCACCAGCCAGGCCGTCCTTACACCAGCGCCCGAGAGGCAGATCAATACTCAGATGAAGTTTTCTCTCTGCTGGACAATCCATAATTCATACACTCTCAGGTGGTCCTGTATTTACTATTGATCGGACTGAGGTAACAACAGCATTATTGATATGTTGCTTTGATGTCTGGGGAACATCTTTTCTAAAAAACGAAGAAATTATCTGGTTTTAAGATACAGAGAAAAGCCTAACATGAAATAATCCCAAGGCATCTCTCTCAAGGAAATTTAACCCAGTGTATGGTCAGCCTGAACCACTGATATAAACTGGCACAAATCATAAACTTTTGGAAGAGCTTTCCAATATCTAATAATTTCAAGGTTTGTCATCATTTCCAGGCTTTAGATTATGGTGAATTTATTTTTTGAAGGAAAATCTTTGAGAGTCAAACCTTTTTTGCTTTGCTTTTTACCAATCACTGTCACTATTTGTGTGAATAATCAACAACTCCATGTAAAAAAAAAAAAGCTGACTTTTTAATACATTGGCTACATAACATGAAGCAGAACTTGAAACTTGTAATTCATGATCAGTGTGGACCCAGAATGTTTACACACAGGTAGGTGGGACAGATGGCCGACACCGGACGGAAGAATGTGTCGTCCCTGGCCTCGTTCGTTCTCTGAAAATCGTCCAGCTGGCTCCTCTTCGTCTGTCTTGTTTATGAGACATCTTAAGGATCTGCAGTTCATCCAGTCACAACATAATCCTCAAGAAATGCTGAGTTTGAAATATAAAATGTGGCAACTTTCTGTTTTAAATGCAGTTTAATCTCAGAAAAACTGTCATTTACACAATCTGAGTTCGTGTTTGTTTGATTGTTGGGATCCTCGTTAACCACATATGTTTGCCTGACCTCGGTCCAGGGGCCACCAAGGACATGGGTAAGATGCTCGGTGGGGAGGAAGAGAAGGATCCGGATGCAGCGAAGAAAGAAGAGGAGCGACAGGAGGCGCTGAGGCAACAGGAGGAGGAGAGAAAGGCCAAACATGCCCGAATGGAGGCAGAGAGGGAAAAAGTACGACAGACCATCAGGGACAAGGTAAATATTTATAAATTATTATGAGATATTAAGTTTGACCATCTCTATCCAGAGTGACGAATTTAAATGATGTGAATATTCTCCCTTCTAAGCAGACTTTCTTGCAGTATCTCACTGTGGTCAGTATTTGGCTAGTCCAGTCCTGACAACAAAACATGCAGTGACGATGAACAGAAACGAGAACATTCTCCTCTGATCTGGGACAGCTTATTTCCTGAAAGGCTTTGTTTTAGCCTCATTTTCTTCATCTTTGTTGCAGCGTTCCACTTTTATGACCAAGTGGAAGAGCTTCAGGCTTTAGCTCATTTGATCGAAAATACCTCACTCTGATCAACGCCGCTTACAGCCAAAAATACTTCCAGCATTCCAAGCTACAGAAGACCAGCTTCTTATTTATATTATTGGAGGTGCCACAAGAGCTACAACAAAGCTGTTTTTGATGCTTTATAGAGGTGAAATCTTTTTATACGCTACAGCAATCAAATTGGGCTATTTTTCAAGTCGTCCTTTTCCCCTGCTCAACTGATTATTGATGCAAAAGATGTATTTCAGGCATTGTGGGATGTTTGAGCTTCTGTCTGTGATAATGACCTCATTAAGGGATTGTCAGAGCACGCTTGAGATGGGTTGTTATTTCTGATATTGATCACGTGGGTTCAAAACATTACCATTTCAACCTGAAGTTGTGTTGCATCTGACAAAAATTCAGCTCCTTACTTTCTCCTGATATCTTTAGAGAATCCACTTCTTTGACAGACTCTTTTCTTTGAGACTCTTCAAAGTTTTCAGCTTCGGAAATTGAATTTAGATCAATTATTTTGGAAATTATTTGGACTCATAGGACTTATTTAAAGTTAAATATGTCAAAAAATGTTATAATTTCAGTCATGTTTGATGCCAGCCAATCAAGAGAGTATAAAAACTCAATCCTAAGCATTTTTGCTTGAAATGGTTTCCTCTTGAAATAAGAAAATGTGTGTGTATTGCGCTTTTGTCCATTAGAAATTGTCCTTTTTATTAAACTCTCTTGTCACCTTCATGTCAAGCAGCTGTGTCACCCTGCAAAAATGTGTTTCTTAAGGTTTAATTAACAATGACATATTTGCTTGTTTAAATAAAAGAAAATCATCAGATTATTCTCCGTAACTTAGAAGTGTGATCTATGCTTTTCTTGAATGAGCTTCTCTTTTTTTTGTAATTTCCAACCAATCTTTTGTAAATTATTGTAATGTAATTCCAAAAGAGAAAATCAAATATAATTTAATTCTCTTGCACAAGCTACAAGGTGAACAAAAAGACTTAAATAGAGTTAGGATTAATTCCCTCTGTCTTCCTCTTCCCACCGCCTGTTTTTCTGCCTGCCAGTACGGCTTGAAAAAGAAGGAGGAAAAGGAGGCGGAGGAGAAAGCAGCCATGGAGCAGGCATGTGAGGGATCACTGACACGCCCGAAGAAGGCGATCCCGAGAGGCTGCGGAGACGACGAAGAGGATGAGGAGAGCATCCTCGACACTGTCCTTAAGTACCTTCCCGGACCTCTGCAGGACATGTTCAAGAAGTAAAACAGAAACACAAAGCGAATCAAACGAACCCTAAATTTAGGGTCCGTTCAGGCCTGAGGCCAGGCTGCAGGGCAACGGGGAAGCAGGGATCTTTGTGTCGGGGACTTTGGGTCAAGATTATATGTCAAATGGCTTTGATTGTAGATGTTTGAGTTTCAAAATTCGTCAGGAGCAAAAAGGATCTGGGAGGGGGCAGAGGTTTCTCAAACTTTTAGAGGCTGCACACTGCCTTTGTAGAGACCTTTTACTTCTTTCTTTTCTACTCTTCAAAGATTTCATTATTTGAATTTCTTTTTCCTGCATTATCCTTTCATCTGCCAGGTAGTGCATGTTCTATCCTTTTCTTACTTTTATTGTGTGTTAATTTAGATTGAAGCGTTTGTCACATTCCTTTAATGAAGAACAACATTCCACAGTGCACGCGTTTTCAAAGAGCACTGCCACCACGTTTTCCAGCAAGCTTGAGTCACCATAGTGGGCGTTTTCTACTTTTACAAGCCTAAAGAAGGTCTTTCAATGACATTTGCTACATTAGAAACGTTTTTAGGACATGTGCCTTCATATCATCTCCTCTTACAGAGGAAGTCGTAAGTGAGGGATTAATTTGTGAGTCAATGTAGTTGTTAAAAAAAAACAGTTTTTGGAATGATCTATTTTGTGTTAAAATAGCACTATTTTTCACACAGAGGTGTTCAGAAAATCCTTTAAGAGACCGTTTTGTTTTACAAATAAATTGCCAACAGCTTATTAGACTGCCATCAAGTAAAAAAAAAAATTTTAAGCAGGCTGAAAACTAGAAAATTTTATATTCAAGCAGATCTTCCATAAACCTTTGAATAATTTTATTTTTGTTTGTGTAAACAAATGGGAAAAAAAACATATAAACAAAGTTAGCAGTCTCATTCACTTAGACAATCAAACAACTCAACCCTGAAACGCTTGGAGTATCTCCTTACTCCTATCATCGATGGTTGATAAGTATTTGCTCATTTAGATCACAAACTCATATTTAATTTTGTCTTGTCATTATTATAATTTAATGGATATTACTTATCAGGCAATGATTGAGAGTACTGTTTCTTTTATTTTGTTAACGTGCTGCAAAAATTTATTTCAGTGCAACCAAGATTGTTATTTTTCGATGTTCACCTCAAGTGAAGCTCATCGACATCAAGACCAAAGAAATCCTGGTGAGATCTCTCTGTTTCTTTCGTCGCCACCAGTTTGCTTGCTGGTGGAAAACTCTGCCGTACTGCGTAGAAAACAAAAGTTTAGGCCAAACCGGAGAGGAAACGGGTGTGTGACCTGTTGCATCTCACTGCCTGAAGAGCTGATAGTACTTCACTTTCCTGCATCTTTTAGTTCAACTAAAGAAAAACAAATAAAAAACTATAGTGATTCGTCACGTCGTATTTGAGTAGATGTACTGTGATTCAGCAACAATCGCTAGTGAAAGTACTTGAATATATGGACGTTCTTGGGTAAAAACAAAGCATGTCGGTCATTCCTAAACAACCTGATGGCGAGTCAGTGGTTAGTTATGCAGCGTGTGTGATTAATACATTGTTCCAATGTAAATAAATTTAGAGATTAATAGGACTGATGATGACGCTGCACACTGTAAAACCTGTTCCTTTATTTTAATCATTTTCTAGCTCAGATAGGACTTTTCACTAGACAAAGCCATATTGTTTAGACTGCAATAATTACTTAAAATGATTTAAAAAAAAAACAGTATATTTCAACATTGAAGCTGTCTGATGTTTGTTTTCTGTTATAAAATTAGACAGAATGTTTCTGTTTGTAAATCTTCATCACTATCTTGTATACTTTATGTATACGCAAGAAAAATATATAGAAAGAAGAACCCATTGTTAGAAGTGTCTCTGTGTATTATATGTGAACTGTAAGTGTGTGCGTGTTTCTATGTGTGTCTTTCTACATGTCTGTGATGTGAGACCACGTTGTTGATTCGCAAACTGTAAATGTGTCTTTGAGCTATAATGTGCAGAGGAAGAAGCTGATTTTGTCTCCTAGTTGTGCCATGCCAGAAGAAGAAAACAAAAAAAAAAAGATACTCAACACATTCCTTTTATATATTGAGCATGCAAGTGTTTGGTAGAGACAAGAATAAACCGAATGTCACACACCAAGAAATATATGTGTTTAATCGTGAGCTGCTGTTTCTGTAGGAGTCTCCAGGCAACAGAATCTGTGCATTGGATCCAGAAAATCAGCTCTATCTGGGGCTTGAGGAGTCTTTCATGTTTTTTTTTTGTTTTGTTTTTTTGCTTTCCGAGTTAAATAAGTGGAGGCTTCATAGTTTGTATTTTTTGGATGTTAAGCAAATATAAATGCATTGAGAGCAGGAAATACTTCATGTGATTTCCAAAAACACTGCCCCTTTTTGCTCCCTAATTTGAAAAAAAGAAAAACTTTAAAAAAAACATCTTAAAAAAAAGGGTTTTCCCACCAAACCATTTCCACTGCGGAACTGGTGCAAGTCCTTCCTTAAGCACCAGTTCTTGCCGCTTCTCCTCCCACAATTTGGGCTGTGGCCCTAATAAATTGGTGCTTTCTTGTCTTAAATATAGAACCGGAGGATGTGGAAAAGTGTGAGACCAACAAACAAGCACAATCTAATAAGCACCATTTTCAAAACTTGTCTAATTTAGGACCAAAGCACAAATTTATAATTAACAATCTGGGTTAGGCTTGGAATCACTAGGTGTCTCTTATCTTCCAGCCTTTTAAATTTAAATCCAAAATTATTCATAACCCTGGCAGATTTAAAATTCCAGTCATATTCGTCCAACTAAGAAGTCTGTTAGTTAAAAATAACAAAAAAATGTAAAAAGGGTAAAAGATAACAAAATAATTTATTAACAATAAATTTGTATATGTTTGTATATTTCCACTGGTCTTTGAGATCCAGGTTTTTGAGGATGAAATGCCTCTTTACCATCGCCCTAATCTTTAGTTCCCTTCACAGATTCTCAGGCCGGACTGACCAGAATAGTGTCCCAGGATTTTCCAAATGTTCTCTAGCGAACTTTAAACTTGATTAATACTTTTTTCTTCAGCAGTGGAGTCTTGTGCAGTCAAAGTACAAAAAAGTCATTGTAACTGTGTGCTGTATCATTGGTTTGATGGAAAATTACACCTAATGCTTTTTCTAAAACTCTCATCAAATGTTAATGGGCTGTTTTGACATTCTTTTGACTCCTCTGTTAAACATGTGTTTAACTCTTTTGTTTTATTTAACAAAAGTGTTAAATAAAACAAAAGAGTTAAATAAAACAAAAGCCTCAGATCAGCCACTTTCACTGGCTGATCTGAGGATAATCCCCTGCATTAATTACTTCCAAGCAAAGATTCCTTAAATATCTTGTGCTTCAAAGGACAGGCCCCTCTGACCTGTGTACTTGGAAAACCTTAAATACACCTACACACGGGAGCTAGGAAAGAGAGATTTGATTACCATTTGTCATTGGCCCTTTGTGGAAACAATAGCCATACATTGTCTGTATGTCACATAGTGTCTCAGCGGGACTCATCTCAAGGCTTCACTGCATGTGAACTGTCTTTGAAAAGGGCTATTTCCACGTTGTTAATGTGAGGTTAGTGTGGCATTTCTGTTGCATGTGTGCTTGTCCTCAACTCATCCTACTATATAATATACATAAAAACCAATGAGTAGTTTTAATGCATCTTTTTAATGGTTAGAAAAAAAAAAGACAATATAGGAAACATTTGCGTTTTTTAGTAGGACAGAAGCATATTTAGGAGTGTGAGAGATAAAAGGTTCTGACAGGACAGGAAACGAAGCCCAGATGCATCAGCTCCTTCCTGATGTTCCTCTTTAACATCCCAAATGTTGATGTGATGATTAGCGGGAAAAGCATAAACAAAAAGACTGGATTGTCAAAGCATGTTCTGTTGTCAGGAGCCCCAGAAATGAATATTTAAAAACATGAGTTCATCCTCAGCTAGTCAAAAACAGCTAAGTCAATGAACATTCTTGTAGAGTGAAGCAAAATCTTTGAAGAAGGTTTCGCTTTTGTGGAAGATGTCGCAAAAATTGTCTTATTTCTAACATTTTGATATGAACTTACTGTCCTGCTGAATCCTGCCGGTAAATGATGAAAGTGCTCGGTCATCGTCATGTTTACTCTCCCTGTAAGGACAGGAGACATTCTGATAAACACTTGAGCAACTTTGAACACATTCCAGTCTTTGTTGGCATTTGCACTAGAATATGTTAATATTGTTACACTGATTTATCGGCATCTGCAAACCACTCTTGCTTTTAACATCTGCAAATGAAGACGGCAAAAAAAGAGAGGAAGTGAGCAGCTTTTTAAACTGGTGATGTGGGTCCAATTCAAAAATGCTTAAACATAAATCCCTGAATGTTGTTGCTTTGGACTTTCTTTTCAATTCTTTATTTGTAATTCAGGGTGAAAATTATTCCAGGGTGAAAAATGTAAAATAAGAGTATACCGTGTTTTTTTTATTTTATTTTATTTTATTTTTTTTCTTAAATGCATGTCATGTACTCAGTGTGGAGCCCAACCACTGTAAACTGCATCATCAATGTAACTGATTCATTCTTTTTGGAAACTAAATGCATTAAACAAATAAAAAACAAGAAGGTTTATAAAAATCTAATAATCTTCCTATGGCTCTGGGTACTTCCTTGCATTTGTTCTTTATTTGTTCAAAAATAATCTGAAATGTAAAGGACTTGTTTTATACCTTTTGCAGATATTTAAAGTGCATACATATATGTGTGAAAAATCACTCCAGAAGCTGTCAGATTGCCTTTTTAGTGTTACATGGAGGATTTTGTTAGAACTTTTTGTGGACTGATAGTGGGCCTAATTAAAAATTGATGATACTTTCCTGTCTGCCTGGAAAAGTTTGCTATAACAGACATGAGGCTTCAACCAGTGCTGAGCCTCAGATTCAGGAGGAGCTTTGTAGCTTTGGAAATTTGGAAATTTGGAAACTAATTTGATGATCTGAAATAAACAAGTATGACAAAAAAAAAAAAAAAAAAAAAAAAAAAAAAAAAAAAAAAAAAAATTTGGGGGGGCCAAAAACTTAACAGGGGT